GCTGGCATCTTTTTGCCAACAAGTGGTCACAGGCAGAGATTCCAAAAACGTTTGTTGGGGAAAAATGGAAAATCAAAAAGACAGTAGCCATTAATCATTAACTGGTGCTTTTTTATATATAAATTGGGAAAAACCCATCTGAGTCCACCTTTGGAGGCACCACCCACATGTCAAAGGAGCCTGGCCTGAGACTGACTATACGAAAGGCTGCTTAGGGACCTTACCCAGACAAATCCTAAGACCCTTTTCCAGCCCCAGCTGCTGTGGGAGTCACCATGCAGCTGGTCCTGGGAGCACCTAGGGAACCAGAAGTAGGGGCAGGGGCAATTGTCCCAATTTTTTTGCCCCAGCGACATCTGTTCCCAGCCACAGACACAAGCACAACAGAGCAGGCCAGATCTCAAAGCATGGCCAGATGGCAGCAGGGATCCACGGGGCATCACATCTCGCGAGGCAGCTGGGCAGAGTCCCAGTGTTCATGGGAGAGCAGTCGAGACAGGCACAGATGCCCGGTAACAGGTTTCAGAAGGGGGAGAGTCAAGCAACCAGCTGTCCTTGGGTGGGGGCTGCCCCTGGCAGCAGCGGAGGGACTCATGAAATCTTGCAGTGGCCCCAACCCAGGGACACACTGTGTGCACCCTGGATTCACCAACCACTAGAGCCCTGGGGGTGCCTGAGAGCACCTGCCTGGATAAACCCAGACAGGTGACAAGCCAAGGTCAGGAAGTACAAGCAAAAGAGCAGAGAAGCAGAGAAGACAAGTGGCCTGGCGATTTCATCCTTTCAACAAATGTCCATTGAATGATAGTCACACATGAACTTCAGCAATCCTTAGCTTTTATTCTTTTTCCAGAAGGTAATACATACTCTGTGTAAAAATATTAAAAGAATGTAAGAGTCTATCAAGTAAAATGCATCAAGATGTCCCCCCTCGTTTTACATTTCCAATTCCACTCTCCAGAGGTAATCATTGTTTTTGTTTTTGCTTTCAAACGGAATTTCGCTCTGTTGCCCAGGCTGGAGTACAGTGGATTGATAGCTCACTGCAATCTCTGCCTCCAAGGTTCAAGCAATTCTCCTGTCTCAGCCTCCTAACTAGCTGGGATTACAGGCATGCACCAACGTGCTCAGGTAATTTTTGTATTTTTAGTAGAGACGGGGTTTCACCGTGTTGGCCAGGCTGGTCGAACTCCTGACCTCAGGTGATCTGCCCATCTCGGCCTCCCACTGTGCTGGGATTACAAGCGTGAGCCACCACACCCCGCCAATGATTGTTAAAAGCTTGGTGTGTGGTCTTCTCAATTTTATGTGCATATGTATCCATATATATAAAGAGAGAGAGAGAGACACTGTCTTCTGAGCAAAAATAGGATCTGAGTCTTCATACTGTTCTGCAGCTGTTTTTCACATAACACCTTATCACATTTTATATGTCAGTACGTACATGTCATTCTTTGGAACAGCTAAATAGTA